GCGCCGCCCGCCGCCCGCGTGACCTTTTTCCTGTTCGCGGCGGGTAAATTCCCCCCCGAGGGTGGGGGCTCCCCTCTTGGGAGCTTGGGCTGGGGAAGGACTGCGCCGAGTTGCAGAATTCTTGGCCGACTGCGTAGGAGACGGATCCCCGGAAAAGGCCGGGGGACCGGAAAGGAAACGATGATGATTACGGGGGGAATGAGGTCTGGGCGCGGGAACTAGGACTCCCCGAATCGGGGAGGCTCGGAAGCCTGCGAGCCGACCAGAACAGAGGGCTGGGAAAGTCGAAACTGTGTGCAGAAATTGTGAAGGGGAGGAGTATTCTGCACGCTCTTCTCGGGGTGCTTCTAACATGGGGGGAAGGGGTAGGACTGCCAGTCTTTTTTCTAGGGGGTTTTAAACCGATGAGTGCTGCAGACTTGAATCTGCGCTTCCCGTACGTCCCACTTGGAGCGTCTCATCCATATTTTGCCTTTTCATTTTTTCCTCGAATCGGATGGATCAACCTTTTCTGTTACCGTTTAAAACATTGCCTTTCACACTTTGTCTCTCTTTTCAACTTCTGAGCAGTCGCTTTGCGTTTTCTCCCCCAAATTAAAGGACCTCCGAAGGCACAAGATTTAATAAAGACTGAGGATTTGTCTCTCTTGATTGGCTCTGCATGTAACTTTGGCCTTATTTCTCAACCTTTCTGAGCCTCATCTTCCCTGTGGTCAAAAAGGGGAAGGACAGGGCACACTTCATAGGGCTTTTACTGTTAAGAGACTTGCTGTAAAACACTACATGGTTGTTAAGTGATAGTGTATTTGGGTGGTCGGGAAGTGACTTGGAGAAAACCATTTTTTAGTTCCCACGTTTGTTAGGTGAAGATGGAGGGAAGGGAGACTGCTGGGGAGAATCAGGAGATAAAATGGTGATTGGCGCATGCAGCTGCTGGGTCGAGAGATAACGTAAGGTTTTGTTGAGTAATTACCCTGCCAGCTTTGGGGCTTAGTGGTTAGTGAAGGTTCTAGCTACTCAGAGGTGAGAAGGGTGAGGCTTGAGGAAGAAATAGTGGTTCAAGGTCACCCAGCTGTAAGAGGTGAGTCTAGGAAGTGTCCCTGGTGATAAGCACTTGTGAACACTCACCTGTGCTTATGGAACATGGGTTTTCCAGGCCATAAGGAGGGTAATCTCTGGATGAGGCTCGAAGGTTCTGCCACTTCCCTCAGTCTGAGTGTCCTTGCCTGAAGCCTTAAACAGTTTACAGCTTAATTCA